ATCCGGGTCACCAGCCGGCCAGCTCGCCGTAGTTGCCGTGGAAGGTCGTGGAGGAGAGATGGAGTGGGCGGGAAGGGAGGGAGGAAAGGGGCTGCGATGGGGTCCTTTTTTCAGGCCGCCGCCTCCGCACGCCGGAAAGTGGCGGCGGTGGCAGCAGCCGGAGAGGAGGCCGGAGGAGGCCGCTGGAGCGGCGGAGGCTGTCCGCCCCGAGTCGCTTGGGGGGAGATGGGGAGAGCAAGTATAGCCTGCGTGATATCAATCTCCTGTAACTAGTATATAAACCTACTATAACTAGTATTATAGCTGGCTAGCATACGGTTGCTTGCGACCTTATTATCCTTGCTCTCATAGGCTCACTGCCCCGAAAAAATCTTTCATAGGCCCGCAGCCCTGTCTAGTTCAAAAGCATTTCATGCATCATTATTCCAAAGCTTTCTTAACTCCCTCACAAGTCACAACACATTCCAGTTTATTATTTTACCTTGTAGAATATCCCTAAATTATTCCTTCCCCCTGCAGGTCAGTGATCCGGCTTCTATTTATAATGAGATATCTGGGATACTTTTCACCTTCGCCCTATTCGTTTGGGCTTGTTTGGCTTATAAGCCGTACTTTTTCAGCCAACAAATAATATTTTTCTCTCACACCAAATCAGACAATAGTACTTTCAGCCTGGCTTATCAGCCAAACGAGCCCAAACAAACAGGGCGCTTGTTATAATTTTCCTAGATGCAGTCTTAAAATCCACAGCAATTCTCTCTAGGTCTAAGATGCTGAGTCCTTTGGCCGCGTTGTGACTGTCCACTTTATCAGACAATGTTGTCCTCAGGCCTCGTTTCATTTCCCTCAATCCTCTCCAACCCTTTGGTTTGGGAATAAAATGAACAAGGCCTCAAGAGACTCCTCGAAAAGAAAACTTATCCGAAAACGATCAATCCATGCGTCATTTGTTAGATTGGAAAAAAGAACTGTTAGATGGTAATGTAGATTGGTTGAGAGGTGAGAACCATTTGTCTCACAAGGGTTTCCTTACTCTTATGTTATACTATGTAGCGTGTCCGTACGTTGCTACGGAACAACTAAATCTTTTGTACTAAAAACACACGGATCGCACGATAAGATAACAATACTGTTAAATTAAATACCGACGTTAAAGTGATATTTAATTCAAAAAGCAAAGTTCGTGAAATTAACACAGTCACGGAGAGCGCGGCGTCGCAGGCTCACAAATTCTACTGTATAGACTTTTCCGTGATATGGCTAGGATAATATTTTATATCAGCAGAAAGAATTCTCCGATATTCATTTCTTTCATGCGTCAATAAATCCATGAATAAGTTTCGCTGCATCTCCATATAATCCTGTACACACAAGTTCGAGTATATATGTAAATATTAGTGCATGTCACATGGATAATACTGCGTGTCTTAAAAAATCTCTCATCAAATTTTAAAACAAAGTATGTCATGCTCACCGTATAAATATGTGTGGCTTAGGACTATTCCACATAGATATATATTATAGAATAAGGTATCCACTTGAGTGTCCGTTCTAAGATGTTGAATTAGGTGTTGTAATTCTTAATTTCGATATATTTTTCAGGTCAAAGCAACCAATGATGACACTTTTCTTAGTGGTGCATAATTTTATGGTGCACATCTTGACTATCTAAGTAAGGACAAGTTAGTACCGCAAAGGCTCAGAAAAGCTGCTGAGAAGGTCAAGGTTGAGTTTTCCTCCACTATGCATACTAAAACTTATGTCCCCGTTTATCATTGCCGATGCTTTTGATGCAAAGCAATTCAACATTACCATGATCAGATATAAGTTTGAGTCTCTTGTGAGCAATCTCATAGAGGGACTCTCATTCTTTATGTGATCTGCCTTAAGGATATTGTCAGGACGATGGACCCATGTTGGAATGTCGCACTAAAAAGTGTCCACATTTTGTCCACGATTTATTTCCTACGAATAAATGCGGGTACTATGATAACACTAACTACACCAAACGAAAGATTAGAGAGAATTAGCATTGCTTCCAGAAGGATTTATTTATTAAGTTTTTTGGACTCTACATGTAGTTTTAAAATATCTATTTGCATGTCTTACCTCGTTCCCTAATTCAAAATTTTGTAGTTTAATTAGAATATTTAGGTGATTGTATATATATAATATTCAATACAAGAATAATCTATGCACGATCTTCTTGAAAGATTTCTGCAGTGTAAAGACATATTCGTTTTTCATGCATGTGCATGCTAACGCTACGGTAAAAACAAAAGGACAATATATCAATTAAAAAATAAAAACAAAACACATGCTCAAAGTCAAAAAGATAAATTATGGATGCTTGAATTTTGTCATCCATTATCTACCGGCGTGCCTATAAAATAGACTGAATAAACAATTAAACATAGATAGAAAACTAAATTAATGAAAGGATTATTGCAAGACATCAATCATCTCATAGCTTCGGACAATATCGTAAAGCTACTAGAAACTGTAACCGTGCCCTCACCTCAAACATTGTCCACATAAATGGATTACAATGAAAAAAATGGATATCGAAGATTTCTTCCTGCCAATATAAAACATTATCTTAGCCACATCATGGAAAAGTTCTATAAAGTAGAGTTTGTGAGCTCTCCTGCGACGCGGCGCACTCCGTGACCGTGTTAAATTCATAAACTTTGTTTTTTGGATTAAATGTCACTTTAACGTTGGTATTTAATTTTTACAATATTGTTATCTTATAAATGCGATCCGTGTGTTTTTAGTATAAATTGTTAGTTATCCCGTAGTAACGCACGAGTACGCTACCTAGTATAAATATAAAGAATGAAAAAGACGACAAGAAAGATTGACATTAGGTCAACTCCTTTTGATTCTTTACAAACACATTTGAAACAACCAAAAGAACATGGATTTGACCATAAGTAGCATTTGCCCTCTTTTTTTAAAAAAAAAGAAAGGTACTCGCAGAGTTATATGATTGTCAATCTTATCAAGCACCATCAATTTTTGGCAATTGTAGAATTCAACCAAGACACCTATTGAAGTGTTACATCCCTAGCTCAGAACCCAATTAAGAGTAAGTTCTCGCAAGCCTAGCTCTCCAGCCATTATTAAAACTGCATGAAGGGCTCCGAAATGAAGACCACTATTTGAAAAAAGAGTAAATGATTATTGTTTCCTTCCATGCATGATTGTTTTCTTTCTTGCATGATTATTATTTCCTTTCATGCATGATTGTTTTCTTTCATGCATGATTATTGTTTCCTTTTATGTACGATTATTGTTTCCTTCCATGCATGATTATTGTTTTCTTCCATGCATGTGGTCTCAGATGATCGATTTGTTTCTTCAAAGCAGGCGGGGATCGCAGGGATGTCAGCTTCTTTTTCTATCGCGCGGGGTATCGCACGGGGTGGGCAGACGGACGAACCAAAACAAATGTCGCACCAAAAGATATCCACGTTTTTTTCTTTTTAGTTGTAGGAGATATTGTATATATAATAATCATTTATAAATCAATGACTTCCGATGCAATTTCTGTGTTTCCGGTGGTGAGAAGACAAAAAATAATATCTGGCTTTCTTTGTTGGAATTTCTGCCTCTTCGTTCACGTTGTAGTTGCGCTGGATGGACAAGCGCGTTTTTCGCCGCCCGTTCGGGTGGGCTTTGGGCCGATTTGTGTTTTTGCATAGGCGCAGCTGACAAACGTTGGTCCGCGCCACAGTCCGGCGGATCGGAGTATCGGACGTGGCGCACTGGGGTGGGGATTAGCGGAGAATCCGGCCGCCAGTGCTACGTATCCGATCGACACCGAGAGATGAGGAAGGAAAAGCGCCTACTACCCGTAAGCTGCTACTGCTACGGATCGGATCGGAGGCCAATCACTGACTGAAACGACTGGCCGTGCCATCATGCTCTGCAGCACGCCGGCGCTTACCATTTGCGCGGCCGGCCGGCCGTCCGTCCCTTCTCCCCTTTATTTTGTTGCCACGACCACGACGAGCCCGCCCGCCCGAGACACACACACTCTCTACTATGGAGTCATAGTGTCATGCAATGCATCCCCCCTGTCAACCCTCACCAATATATATAACTGACAGAATACAGCAGTAATCAAAGAATGATGTACTTACCTGTGTGCGTCTCTAGCTGAAAGAGTGAAATACTAGTTTGAAAACTAATTAAGCCAAATTTCCTTAAGGCGTTTCACCAAGTTTGTTTTTAGAGAATAGTATCAACATTTGTATCTCTACGATTAAATGGCTATGTTTGCTACGAGAATTTGTATCAACATTTGTATCTAACGATGCTTATTTATTTGAAAAATCTAACGATGGTTATTATTACTAGTTCTTTTTTTTTTTGGTTTACATATTTGGTCAAACCTGCGTTGGGTTGACTAATAAACAAAAAAAAAGCTAGAATAATTGCGCTCTTGCGGGTATCCAAAACAAGCTAAATTAACCACACAAAGAATATGTTAAAGTATAAATAGATGCTCTGCATGTTACAGTCTTATCATCTTTGCCCTGATCGATCAACCAAGTAAGACCATGTATGTAAGAGTGAAGACTGCAACGTACTGCTAGAGCACACACACGTAGCATCATCTAATAAGCCAACTAGCTCACCACCATAATTATTATTTGCATTGTCCGATCGATCCAACGATGCAACAAACTACTACTACTTGACTTGATTCACACACTCAAACTGGAAACTGAGCCAAGGGTAGTAACTAATTAATCACACACACACACACACGAGACACGCAATAATTATTAATCCAACAATTAACCAACTAATTAAACGACCGATCGACCAACTAGATGATGATGCCTGCATGCCAGAGTAATCTTCTGCTATATAGCTCGCCGCTGCTGCCAGCCACTTTTGCCACTAGCCCATGTCGTCGCCGTCGTCCGAGTCGATCCGAGCTAGCAGGGTACGGTGCGTGGTGGTGACTGGCGGCGATCGGCGTTGGGTCACACGGCGGCGACAGTGGGGACGATCTCGATGACCTCCGGCATGGCGCCGTCCGGGTTGGCGGCGGCCATCCTGCGGGTCTCGGCGGCCACGGCGGCGGTCTCCTTGTGCTGCTGCTCCATCACCTCGATCTTGTGCACGCCCACGATGGGGATGGGGCTCACCGACAGGATGGCCACCGTGTTGGGTGCCAACTCGATCACCCGCCCCTGCACCTGCACCGCGCCCGCGCCGTCGGTGGTCGTCGGCAGCACGGCGTTGTTCTTGGCCGGCCGGGGCTTGCGGTACCAGAAGTAGAGGCCCATCTGGACGCAGCTGAAGAAGAACCCGCCGACGTTGGGGTACTGAATTGAAAACCATTATTATTCAGTTATCACATCGATCATCATCAGGTGTTTCAGTTCAGTAATAAGGAAGCTCCGCCAATTGTTAGCTACTAGTTCTTAGTTCTTACCATGACGAATGGGTCCTTGGTGAAGAGGCCATAGCAGAACCATGCGACGGCGCTGAGGGTGAGGCAGAAGGAGAGGCTAATGGGCAGGAACTCGACGCTCTTGGTCTTGACCACCTTGACGATGATGCTGAGCGGCGCGACGAAGACGGCCATGGAGAAGGCGAGGCAGACGCTGCCGAGGAACTTGACGCGGTGGGGCTGGCGGACGACGAAGAGGGTGACGACGACGACGAGCGCGAACGCCGCCACGTCCAGCAGGAAGAAGTAGGCCAGCGTCCGCAGCCTCGCCTTCCGGGGCGCGTACGCCAGGTAGAAGACGATGTAGGCCGCCTCCACGCCGCAGCCGAAGGCGTTGATGGTCAGCAGCGGCCTCGAGTTGGTCTTCACCAGCGCGTAGAAGATCCACAGCACCGAGCTGAAGAGCGCCACCACGTATGGCACCGAGCTGAACCCGCCCGTCGACTTCTTCCGGTACACCTGCAGGAACGTCGCCCTGCATGCAGTTTCGTTCGTTCGTCAGTCTTGGATCGATTCACTCAAAGATCTATCTCGCTCATCATGAAATGAAATCAAGTCTGAAACGACGACGACCCAGCAAGGGAAAGGTTCTACTTACACTGGTGCGAGGAACACCAGGAAGGAGATGATGTTTCCTGCACAAATTAAAGAAGAAGAGAAGGATACGCGTCAGTATATCATTTTCACTAAAAGTAGTAGGAGTATATTCTTCATCCACCAATAGGGAAGCGTGATGATTATTAGGGTAAGGAAAGGCTAATATGGCAAAGGCTGCAGGCACACGCCTTCCTCGCTGCCCAACCGATCATAACCATTCCAAACAAGGATAGATAGAGCACATATAGTACGGATTCTTAGATAGTGCGTCGTTACGTTGTGAGCTGTTTTGCAATTACATTTCGTGATCTAATACCCAAAAATATATGGATCTAGTATTACAAACCCTCAAGAAACAGCATGTATGCATCTGATGCACTCCGCCTACCATTCTTCAGTGGAATACACCTAGGCGATGCATGTGTGTTCTAGCAACAAATTAACACAAGCCTACTACTACTGATGCACTGCAAGGGTAGTATGACCTGAACCGTGATCACAGCTAATGAATTGAAGAAAAAGTAGATCAATGGGCCGGGGAGCATCAGAAAGTTAAAGAAGATGTAGTAGTATAAGTGTATTATAACAACAACAAAAGGTGAAACTGATGCTAAAGCTACATATATTCAAGCATTATTTGATCGATGATGGACAAGACTGTTGGTTGTCCTGTGTGAGCTGCATGCATGCCTACAACAGGGACAATGAAAGGCGTGTGTGCTCTACAGTGCAACGGCACAAACGACGAAAAGAAAGGATTTGAGAAGGATGGAGAAGGCAGTCGTCATGTCGGAATACAGGTGCACAAAATCTAGCAGAACGTACGACACCAGAATGAATTGAAAACCACAAAAAGGTGATGCATGTCAAGATCCCATAAAATAAGAAATAAAAAGCAGCAGGAAACGGCCACACGAATTGAAGCATATGGATGTCTCCTCCATATCCCGGCGTCATCGTCGATCGATCGAGAGGTTGTTTACCTGCGATGCCGGAGAGGGTGATGGCCGGGTGAGCCATGGAGAAGAGGCCTCCTGCCATTGCTGACGACGGGGAACAGGAACAGGGAACAGGGAACAGGAACTGGAGAGAGTTAGCTAGCTAGACGGCGGCGATGCCGAGTTAGCTAGCTAGCTAGCGTTGCTAGAGAAGAGAGATCAGAGTCTATATATTTCCTAGTGCGGCTTCCTTCCACGATGGAGAGGAGCTGCTAGCTACTGCTAAGGTGATGCTCGATTAGCTATTGCTGATGTGTGTGTGGTTTGGACCCGAGGATGGGCATGGACTTATATAGCCGGCCGCGCTGCGCCTTTTGCCGTTTTGGGAGGCTGGCCGCCTTGTTGATTGGTGCTATCCATTTCGACATTGTTGGCGAGAAGAGAATAATGGTGTGGTACATGCATGTACCAGCAGGTCGATCACAGTGTCATACAAGCAATATATGGGTGTATCTAATCTGCACTTTCTTTGCAGCTTTTTTTTTTTTTTTTTGCATTTCTAGGGAAGTAAGTAATCTATGCATGCTAATAAAGCTAGCTGTTTTGTTTGTCTACCTAGCTCCCTCCTAGTGAGTTAAAGTGAAGGATTTTTCCACCAGCTGCCAATCACAAGTAGACAGGATTACTTCAACTTTTGCTGTATGGTTTATTTGTAGAAATACATATAGACCTGTGGAGCAAAGATGTAATGCAAGGGGGGACTTGCCGCGGCGCCGAAGAAGGAGTTACTAGGACTTGAAGGATTAACAACACGTGCATGTCGTGTAGTACACTAACACAATCTGTTGGGGAGGATGAAATCAGGCAGAGGATTCTGCCATCATGTTACCAAAACAAAGGAATACGTGTGTGTTGACACATAGATGTGCCAAACACCAAGCACTGATGTCGCCAGGTTGCTCTAAGTCAGCTAGCAAGAGTACAGAGCCACTTCTTGTCTTTGAATCAAGAGATGAATAGCAATACACTACTACACAAACTATTTGTAGAGGCGGTCATATTCGGTTTGTAGAGGCAGATTGTCGATGATTCATGTCACCGACCGGTGAATTTAGCATCGTGCGTGGAGTTAAATAGCTTAGCACTCAAAGACTCAAGGTTTTGAATGGTTCGTGCAGCATTCCCTATGTTTAATGAGGTGTAGGATCATGTTCCTGAGCACCAAGGAAGCTCAATGTTTGCAGTAGGTGTTACAAATGGGTGGGATAGAAGAACTAGGGTTCTTGAGACTGAAGAAGGGTTTGAGGGGGTGAAAGTACGCAGAGTGCGAACCCCAAGAGACCCACCTGTTTTACATTATATAACTAACCGAGAGGCAAGGGTTTACATAATGGCATAACCTAATAGAAAAATATAATTAGTATAAGGTTTTGTAGATGTTAGGTTTATAGACCCATCAATACTCATTTCTCCTTAAACAAACCCACATCAATCTTAATAAAATTAAATCCCCTTATTAGTTTATTCGTGTTTTATGATCGAGTTTCTTTCCATTTTCTCCTTTTATTTTTTAGGCGCCTATTCAGGTACCATATTCCGTTCCATATATCTCCTATTCTTTTGTTTATGGAACTATACTGTTTGAAATATATAAATATTTCTGGTTTCTCTATGAATCTCATTCTCACAAAGATAAATGCATCAGCATACATAATAATAAACTTATGAAGGGTTGGAAATACCGAGAAATATCGTCCCGTAGAATATCTTCAAGTCACAAAAAGGGAGAGAGACAGTGAAAAGGGAAAGAAAAGGCACTCCGAGGTCATATCTAAGTCATAAGCTAGAATGAACAGCTTAGCCTAGCCAAGATCAACGTTTTCGTACCATCTTTTTGAACCAGGCCGACAAGACGAATGATTCCCTATACGCATTGACTGGTGGGGTATAGCCATACGAAGACATCTGTCGAGTTCTCTCATGAACACTGAAAAGTGACTTGTTGATCAATAACAGTACTGACCACACTGTCCTCCACTGAATGACGAGCTAGTCGCGCTATGGCCTACTGGCGCGATCAGGCTTGATACGATTGGAGGAAACATGTAGTGGAATAGTACGGCTATACAACTAGCACGCGTACAGGCTACCAGCTGCCTGAACAACCGTGTGAATTTTCTAGCTTCAGCACACTGTGTAATGTTACTTTGTACTGGAATGTGGTGGCAATGATTATGAACTAACTAATGCTCCGAATAATAGGAATATATAATGGGAAATTCTTGCTTTCAGGGACATTATATGGATCTCCCATGTTTCCCTGTATTTTTGTAGGAAATTCAGATGATATACGACTAAAAGTCCATCCTCTGCCTGACAGAAAAGCCATGCTGGATCAGAGTTCTGTTTTTCAGAGAAGCTATATAATACTGAAGTGTTTTATGAAGTTTACGGTCTCTTATTATCTTATCATCTTATATATGTGTGTTGCAAACTTGCAATCCACCGGCATATTCCTGAATTCTAGCAACATGCCTCCGGCTTCCTTCTCACAAAAGAGAAGATGGGTCAAAGAACAAAAGCTCTTTTGTCCCCTTCTTTTCTGCCCAAGAGCCCTGGAATTCAGAGTTAGTCTTAGTCCCCCTTCAAGCTCAGATAGCACCTGCAAAAAAACATCAAATTATTGTCCTTCTTTGAAAATTTGTGCATAGATACTAGACATTGTCTAGGTTAATTTGTTTCAATCCCATAATTTGTCATTGCAACAGCTGCTCTTGAGGCAGAAACATTTGTCAAGATTGGAGAAATATGTATATGTACCAACAAAGTTCAGAATGATTACAAAGATCGGCGCTAGCTTGCTTAAAAAAAACAAATAAATTCTTGAGACAATATCAGAGAAACAAAATGGCATTTACTTTTCTTATACGCAACGGAAGTCTGAAGGTTTTAGTGATTAATGGATGGTATTTTTAGTAACTAGTTTTATTGATCTAGGGAAGTTTGTTCCAATGGAAATGTGTAGAACTACTAAAAGTATCTTGTCTCAGAAACAGCTTTGGAAAGAAGAACTGGTGAATATATGTAGTCTCATTTCCTATATGCATACATATATTCCATACTAAGTCAATAAATGCATGGACACCAAATGTTTTATAATTAGAGAATGCAAGGGCGCCTCGCCTTTTTTAAGAAATTCTGATATTAGCTTGCAAGCCAAAGCCAAGACGAACTAATTTAAATCATGCTTCTCTTTCTCTCACTTGAAGCTTTCTTGTCCGTAGCAATAACGTCCAATTGCAGAAAAATGGTGTGAAAATTTGGTATTTTCTTGTGCCAAGATGGTTTATCAGGTGTTGTATGCTCTCCCTTTCAAAATTAGGCAAGATCGGGTGGTTAGTGCGTGACTTAGTTCTCATCATGATACCATTATCACCCTCCATTTATTCAGAAGATATTTGCAAAAATATACAGCCATTCTAAGTTCGTTATGGAAGATGTAAATCTGTTGTCCTATCTTGTCTAAAGATGCACAAAGATAACTAGCTTTTTAGGCATTCTATATAGATACAACACCAAATTAGACCTCTTTACAAATCTGTAAAATGTAACAACTATTAGGCAGCTCCTGCTTTATTTGTGTAAAACTGCCAAAGAAATAGGTGGGCGGATTCGGTGAGCGCTTTATCTCTACGTGTCGTACTTTAGATGCATATTTATAAACTTTGTTTGAAATTAGAAAATTACTAATGTTCTAGTTCCACCTACATACTTAAGGCCACGTCACCTTTGGAGAGTTGGGATTTTTATGTGACAATTCATTTCCGGCAGGAATGGAGGAGTTTTCTTCAGTTTCTCGAAGCATGGCTAAACAAGCAACTTACACCCTTGATATGCCCTATATATGAATCATGCATGCCATGAATTAGAATATCAACTGATGGGTCTTTTTTTCTTCTGTGGATCTGTTGATTTGCTCACTTTCACTTACTTTTTTCTTCTGCATCTATCTGCAGTTACCTCCCCATCATGAACTTGGAGACCGAAAGGTGTGGTGCCTAGCTACCCCGTACTGCAATTTAATTACCAATGGTTGGGATATGGAAAAAGCAGGCGCACAACACAAAAAGGAGCAGCTAGCAGCAGCACTAGCTCTCTGGTCAATGGTGCGTGCCTTATTAGCTGGGTTCAGGCTTTGTTGCTTGTTCAAGAAGAACACAAGAGATCCTAAGCCTGATAGAGTATCTGGGCTGGGCGTAGAAACAATGCCGGTTTCATCTGTTGAATTTACCCATACAGCCCGTCCCGTGAGAAAGGTATATATCCATAAGGACCAAATGGAGATTCAGACATTCAGTGATGCTTTACATAAAGAAACTAAAACTTCTATCTATACGAAATGAAACATCTGCACTGTCAGCATAGTATGTCAAAGGCATGCAATGCATTGACAAAGTGGCCAAAAGGACTTTTGTGAAGGAAAAAAAGGAGTAAAAAAGGCTACCATGGATTGACCGACGAGTGCTCCCCGTGATAGGGACCTCTTTATTGAAAGGCATAAGGCCTTTTCCAAAAAAAAAAAAAAAAAAAAAAAAGAGGCATACGGCAAGCACGTACAACAAGCTGATGTGGAAGTCCACTCCACGGTGGCATGCATGGGCGCCACGTCACACCCTGTATGTGTGCTTCGATGACGAGAAGCCGGGGAAAAGGGTGCAGACTGCAGAGGGAATGAGGGATGATCATCATTCCAGTTGCTTTTTGGCACTTGCGTTGGTGATATGGAGAACAGCACTGCTGGATCTCATACATGCTGGCATGCATGCATGCAAGCCCATAGCCATGATCAAAGAGGATCCTATATATTCAGCATGTTGCAATATGGACTATGTACATCTCGCACTAGCTAGCTTGTTATTAATACAATGATGATATATACCTACAATGCAACAACATCAGTATATAAAATTCGGTATACACATACAGCAAGTAACTGTATATGTTTCCGGTGTACATTCAGTCTACATGCATTTCACTGTGCATGCATGCATTCAGCACTGGGTTTCTTTTCTTTGAAGCTATAGCTTTTTGTCTTTTGTTTTT